GCATGTCTTTAAGCCATTTGTCATTCCCTTATCACTTTGTAGTGGTTCATCCCCTAAAATAGAACTCCATGCACCACCACCTAGCTCGGATAGACCATTTACCGTTTTACCATCTACATGAAGCCCCAATAACATACTCACATCTTCCAATGTAATTGTGCATTCACCGTTTGGAAGATGAAATGTATGAGTTTCGGGTCTCCATCGTTTTAGTAAGGCTATAATTAACCTTGAATCGATGTGTGTGGACCCTATTGTAGATACATGGTAGAAACCAGATCGGTGTAGGTGAGGGATTATGACTGGATGTGGCTTTAGATGTTTGTGAGCACGAATTCTCCATTTGAAATATAAGTATAAACAATCTGTAATAGAAATAAGTAATATAGAAAAATATCCAACATTTCTATGCAACAAAGTTTTATGAATAAAACTAATATTATAAACTCAAAAATAAATAATATGAATAATATTGAATAAATCAAAAATACTTACAACATTGATATACTCTATTGTTCCCCTATGTTGTGTACCATACCAAAACATATTGGTCATAATTGTGAAAATGAAGAAGTGATTGAAGACTTATCAAAAGAGAGTAGAGAGTGTGTAGTGAATAGAATGTAGTGTGTTTGTGAAAAAATGAGGTGAAAGTGATTGAGTATTTATAGGAAAAAATTGAGAGTGATGATAGTTGGTTGGTAGTTGAATAATTTTATTAGTTGTGGTTGGTAGTAGAGTAATTTAATTAGAGTTGGTAGGTAGTAGAGTAATTTAATGAAAGTTGAATAAATATAAATTTGTATACTTATTGAGAATATTGTAAATTACACGGTTTTGTACACAATGATAAAACTTCATCGATTAATCTACTGAATCTAACATACAACAACATACAACTCAAACGGTGTTTTATTAACACCAATTCGAAAATCCTCAACCATGTTAAATACATTTGTATTTGTAACTAACTTTGTAATATGCTGCATCAACACTCCATTTTCGTTGATTATAGCCCGGTTGAAAGATATCTCTGTAATGCTTCTATTAATATTTGTGATTTGACGTAATTGATTTTTCAAGTGAATGAGTTTAGATCTTTCCATAAGTCGTACAACCAAAGGATTAGAAAATGCATTTCTATAATCAAACATAGTAACTTGTGAATTTTACGGAATAATGTATACTGAGCAAAGTATCAGAGTCATTTTCATCTGAAAACAGAATCGTTTTATGTTGCGTTTATATGCATGGCACGTATGTTATTCACGCCAGCATCCATATTCCCAAGTCGTTTGACTTGGCGCGTAGCAAAGATTCACGCCATTTGACTTGCCGCGTAGCAATTATTCACGCCATTTGACTTGACGCCTACCAATGCTTCACGCCATTTGAGTTGGCGCGTATGACCATATTCACGCCATTTGAGTTGGCGAGAGTGTACCCTGAGCATGTTCACGCCATTTGAGTTGGCGACAACATGTGCGCAATAAATCCAACAACATAGTTATTTGTTTATTAATACATGCATGCAATAAATCCAACATAGTTGTTTATTTATTAATACCATAGTTGTCTTTTATTCAAACAATTGAATATTACTTCAAACACAATACCACAAAATCATATTTCTTGTCTCTTACATTTCAATGGTAATATTTTTACCGACGATAATATTGGAGTGGTCTTTCAAAATACAGATACACATATTTTAAATATTCATCGAAAAAAATAGAAGACACTTTACAACAACATGTAACTTCTATTTTTTATCGACTTCCAATAGTTAATCCAGTTGATCACAATGTCACAACACTGCAAAAATCGAAGACGATGAAGATGTATGTTCAATGCTTCAATGTCACTCAAGGTTTTGCAGTCAACAAACAATGGAGTTGTATTTTTGTTTTCAACAACGGCATGAAGTATATCCAACGCAATCATCACAAACTCATGCATATCAACAAAGTCAGGTCTCCCAACAAAGAAGAGGAAGTGACGATGCTAGACAAATTAATTTGTTTAGTGGGTCCAGTGACGAGTCAGGTGACAATGACAAACTAGAGGCAGACCCGACTCCTATACTTGATCTATACAACTCACCTTATCACTTAAGAAATGTTTCATTTGAATGTGTGGAACCAATTTCAGTCTTTGAACCCTTAGACGAGCGTCAGTCACGTGAAGACTTAAAGGTTGGTATGACGTTTGAAAACAAAGAATAGGTTTGTAAGTCTGATCCGACACGATATTTAATTAAAGGTAAAAAGGAAGGATGCAGCTTCACATGTAGAGCTTCGTTAAGGGAGGGGTGTGGTAAATGGGTTATTGGCATAATTGGAGGGTCGCACACTTGCATGTCGACTGCTATATCTCAAGATCACCAAAAGCTTACCTCAAAGATGATCGCCCATAACATCAGACCTCTTGTTGACAATGACGCGGCAATCAAGGTTAGACATATTATTGCTCATATTCGTACGACTTATGGCTACACCGTATCTTACAAAAAGACATGGATTGCAAAGAACAAAGAAATCGAAGATATTTATGGCAATTGGGAGGCCTCTTACAACAACCTTCCGCAGTGGTGGCTAGTCATGCAACAATTTCTCCCAGGTATCGTCATAGATCTTGAAACACTTCCTGTATATTTAAATGAAGGAATACAAATTGGTGGTGCAAGAATTTTCCATCGCCTTTTTTGGGCATTTCAACCTTATATTAGGGGTTTCGCACATTGTAAACCTATAATGCAGGTACATGGTACATGGTTGTATGGAAAATATAGGGGAACATTGCTCCTGGCTATTGCACAAGATGAGAATGATAACATTTTCCCAATCACATGCATTGGTCGAAGATGAGACCGGGGGCTTGGAGTTTCTTTCTGAAAAATTTGAGACTCCACGTCACACCCCCAATCAGACTTATGTTTGATATCTGATCGACATGGGTCCATTAAGAGTACCTACAATAACTCGGATAATGGCTGGCAGAACCCACCCTCGGTGGGTGTGTATTGCATTAGGCACATCGCACAAAACTTCATGCGGGCCATCAAGGACAAAAACCTTCGCACGACAGTTGTTAACATGGGTAATTACTCTCTAATTTTTAACATGGCATTTCAATATATAGTTCTTTTATATTAATGTTTTTAATGCTTTTACGCAGGGTATGCAATTAATGTCTACATACGCATATTATCGGGAGGAGATCCGCCAAACAAACACAGAGGCTTTCAATTGGATAGAGAACATTCCAAGAGAAAAATGGTCGCGAGCTTACGACGGAGGAGCACGATGGAGTCACATGAAGCGAGGAAAGGATTGGACAAAAAATTTAAAGGAATTGCAGAAGAAGTAGAAAAATCTCACGGTTATAATGTCTTGGCTTTTCACCGTGAAAGTAAGAGACGGTTAATAATAGGAATTGTCAGCCACGTATCAAACTTTTAATCTGCCTTGCTTACATGCTATCGCATCGTGTTCTCACATTAATCACGACTATACTACGTTTATTCCTGACATGTATAGAGTTATAAATGTCTTCAAAGTTTACATACAAAGTTTCCTCGGTGTTCCCCAAGAAGATATCTGGCCTCCATATTTAGGCAATACTTTTTTGCATGATGAAAGAATGCGACGAAATAAAAAAGGTCGCGGTATCTGTCAACAACCACACATGCGGAAAAAATGTTTGCATCGCCTCAACAATGCAGACCCTTCTAACTAATTTTATCAACAATGCAGACCCTTCTAACTAATTTTATCCATGTATTATTATTTATAACTACTTTTAACTGTTTTTTTTTATTTAGTATTTTGATTGTAATTGGGAAATTTTATTACTTAATAAAAAAAATTTATCATTTAATTGTAATTATTAAATAATTATTTTAAGTTTATAATTATTTAAATTTTTAAATTAATATTTTATTAATTAATTTTATAATTAAATAGTTTATTAAATTATTTATAATTAATAATAAAATTAAATAAATAAAATTAAATAATTAAAATTATTAATATAACTAAAATAAATAGAAAAAAACGAGAAAAAAATATTTATTCAGGCCCTTCAAGCCATTTGAAATGGCGAGATTGCATCCCGAGATTGCATCCCACATTTGCGCCACTGGGTGTGGCACTTTGGATAATTATTTTTAGAATGTGGCATTCTAAGAAATTTATTTCAAAAATCTAAGGCTCAGATTCATTTTAGTCCTAACTAACTTTTCGATCCGACATAGTTATATATAAGAGAACTCACCTCTCTCGATCGAGGAATTCTCCATTTTTCTGGGAGAATCACCAAACTCTTCGACAACCTCTCTCTTCTCCTTTCATCTTCATCTTCATCATTCTTTATCAATAGAAGAATCACCAACAAACTCCAGAAAAAAATTTCAACACAGCTTCTTCACGCATCTTCATCTGCACCATTCTCTCCCTGAGACTTCAATCAACTGCAAAGTCTCTCTGAACCACGTCACAATCATCATTATCAACTCAGATCTTCATCAACTTCAATATCACAGTGTTTCAATTTTCATCCACTGTGCAATTTTCATCCACTGTGCAATTGTATCAACTTCATCGCGTTCTAACAATCTCTCTTCAACAAACCTTCAATCTATGCAAGCTTCGTCATCTTATTCTCTGCAAAACAACAACAACACTCAGCATCATCAATATTATTGTTTCAACACTGAAATGCAGCTAAACGGTAAGACGAGGAAGAGGTTTCGGAATCGGAAGCAGAATCGCTATTACCTTTCGGAACTGAGTTTGATGAAGGGGAACGAAACCGAATCAGAGGTGAGATCTGAGACTTGAGCAAATGGAAGCTGAAGGTTGAGCGAATGAAACGATTGGAAGCAAACTGAAGCGCGAATCGTAGACGTAATTGGTCTTTGATGTGTGACGGAAGAAGCTTGAAGGAGGAACGAGGTTTTCGGCATCGGATCTGAACGGAGATCGTGAAAACAAACGGACTTAGACAAAGTTAAACGAAGAAGAGGAAACCGCAGGGAGTAGCGATGTTGAGGCGAGGTCGGAGAGAAACGACGGAGTTTGATCAGAGAAGAAGGTTTTTGAAAAGATAGTTGTACCACCGTCGAGTTTGAGAGGAAGGACGAGAGACGGTGATGATCGGCGCCGGTTTGAAGCCAACGTTGGAGAAGGAATCGGTGCGGCGGAGGGAGTTTGAGAAGCTGCACTGTGATTTTGAGAAAGATGAGAGAAGAAATTGTTGTGTTTCACGTTGTGAGGACCTAAGCACTGAACGATTTGTTTTGTTTTTTTTTTATCTAATTGCTTTTTGTTCATTTTTTAATACTAATTTTGAATAGAATAAGGCTGCAAAGTATGTGAATTTAGGTTGGAATTGTCTTGGACCGAAAATTCTTAATACTTAGGCACGTCATCATGTTTTTGGTAGTTTTTGGATCATGCACAAAAAATGTTTGTTGGATTTATTCTTGTTAGACTTAGCACTAACTCATTTGCTTGCAGCATATCACTTAATCCAACTTTGTACTCTGCTGAAGATATATTTTTTTTGCTTGCTTCGATGAAATTGTATAATTTTTGTGGTTGATTTTTTTATAGACATTGTGATAATTGTTGAAGAATTTCAAGAGATTTTAAAATAAGCTAAGAGTGCAATACTGACCGAGGAAGTTTAAGGAAGCTTTTGGTATAGTTTTCTCATCGCTTGCGTGGCTTTGAAGAGGCGACAAACCTTCTCTATTTGATATTCCTTGAGATCTCTTTACTACCTCATTTCCACATGATTTGCCGATTTCCTTGCCATGAGAAGTATGAATAGAGATGCATGACTGAAAGCTTCTACTTTAGGTGGGCAATACTGTTTTAAAGACCTTCAGAAGGCAATTCATATTCGTGCTTGCTTGTTTAAAGTCCTCAACGAAGACAATTATATGTGTTTATGTTTGTGCCAAAGACCTCAAAGAAGAGATTCACATTCCCATTTCCCTTTATGCAAAGACCTCGAAGAAGGAAATAAGGCGAAGTGAGGGTCCGTAATCGACCCCCGCCATTTCATGTCGATGCTATGAATAGTGTTACTCTTGCCATCGAGTTGGTCAAGTGGAACAGAGGATTCACAATCAACCCCTATAATTTGTCTTTATCTTGTGTTTGTAAACGTTGATGCTTAGGTGTGATCTAATTATTGTCTTCTATCTTCTACTTCGATGACACGATACCTTGGTTAGGTGTTTAGTCGCCTATGACGATTCACTTTTGTTCTTCTCTTGCCAAGATGATACAATATCTTGGTTAAGGGTCGACACCCCCTATTCTTCTTGCCTTGATGACATGATATCATGGTTAAGAGTTATTCATTCCCCCATTTTGCTTGCCTCGATGACTCAATATCTTGGTTAAGCCTCCATTTATCCTACCTTGATGACACGATATCACAGTTAGGTGTTCCACTTCCCTTATCCTACCTTGATGACATGATATTATGGTTAGGTGTTATCCCACTCCCCTTCCTACCTTGCTGACATGATACCTTGGTTGGGTGTGTGCTACTTGAGCGAGTGGATACTCCTCAAGTTTATGTGTTTGCTTTCTATTGCGTGATCACATGCTCCCCCTAGGATTTTTAGTTCACTCTCTTTCAAGTTTGAATTAATTAGACCTTAGGCTTGAATCTAGGAATGCTAACATTAGGTAGAATTCCCTTGATCCCAACTATAGGACCAACTTTACCCGACGACTTTAGGGTTATTTTTGCTAGCTTCCCCACCCCCTTAGACTTTTTTTATCGATATTTCATCATTGTTTCTTATCTTTGTTATCCTACCTTGGTGACTTAATACCATCTTAGGTGTATATTTGCTCGATGTTCCATCATCGATTTATATCTTTGCTATCCTACCATGGTGACTTGATACCATTGTTAGGTGTATGTTTGCTCGATATTTCATCATCGTTTTCTATCTTTGTTATCCTACTTTGGTGACTTGATACCATCGTTAGGTGTATGTTTGCTCGACGTTTCATCATTGTTTTCTATCTTTGTTATCCTACTTTGGTAACTTGATACCATCGTTAGGTGTATGTTTGCTCGATGTTTCATCATCGTCTCTTATCTTTGTTATCTTACTTTGGTGACTTGATACCATTATTAGGTGTATGTTTGATTGATGCTTCACCATCGTTTCTTATTGTTTGTATCCTACTTTAATGACATGATATCATTGTTAGGTGTTGGTGTTTGTTGTACCCCAAAATTTACCCTCTCATTTCTCAAGGATTCTCTCACAAGATCTTCTATGACGTCAAGTTTGCAGCACTCATACATCAATTTAGGCTTGGAATTGGCACAAGGGCAAAATGGTCAATTGCATATTAGAAAGTCAAACTTTGACTTTTTGGTCAACATTACATTCCAAAGATCAAATTTCATCGAGACATTCAAGAATATCAAGCTTGATCATCAAGAAGTCAAGAAAGTCAAAAGTCAACTTGAAAAGTCAAGATTTCCAAGACTTAGAAATTTTCAAAGTGTTTTATACATGATAATTTCATCACTTCATGCCATTCTTTCATCAAGATGCAAAACGGTTCAAGGGAAACTTTCAACATGAAAGTTGTAGATCTTCATGATATCTACAACATTTCTTTACACAAATTCTCCTAGAAGTACTTGGATTTTGAGTTATAAATTCATGAAGTCATGACATTTTCATTTAACACTTAGAGAAATTTCCAACAGATTTTGTTCAGGATTTTATCCCAACTTCTTGGCATTTTTTCACTAGTTCTAAGATTATTTTGTCAAAATGGCCAACATGAAAGTTATAGAGGATGTTTCAATCTTTTCAAAACATCCAAGAGCATGAATTTATCATACTTGAGCTAGGATATTCAAGGGTTTGAAGTTGGGCATCCATCCTTGAATTGCAAGTCATTCTATTGAAGAACACATAACAAAACCCTTATGTTATGCTGCATAATCTTATGTTGCACACCTTCTTGCTTTCAAATCTCTACATAATTTAATGTTTACACAAGAGCTTGAGTCATTACCCAAGTGTTTGAGTCATTGTCCAAAAGATCTTTCCATTTATGGCATAAAGGCACCATTTATATTCTTGAAAAGCAAGCTTTTTGTACAAAGTTTGTCTTGAGCCCATACCTTGCTTGTTGCTGATTATACTCCACATTAAATCATGAGAAGTAGCTCCTCTATACTAGCAACTTTGGTACTTCACCTTGGGACTATGGAGTACTTGACATAGTTTGATTTTGTAATCCAACCAAACCATAACATGTTGTCTTGCAAACTTAGTCAGCTCATATGCACAAACCTCTTGCCTATAAATAGAAGAAGCATTTGCAAGACAAGGAGGTTAGAAAAAATAGAAAGAAAACCAGAAGTTTTGTTGACAAAATCTCAAAAAAATCTCATAACTGAAAAAGGTCATAACAGTCCACAAGGCAACACCTCAAGCTCAAAACATAAATTCTAGCTGCAAGGTAAGTCTCCTTAACTTTAAACTCTTCATTTCAATCATCATCATTTGGTTTATTTTTTAGGCTAAAATGCAGTGACCTTCGAAGAAAGGTTTGTAAAAAATCATGAACAATTGCCAAGATTGAGTGAAAAGTTTTCCATGAAATAGTATCATGAACAGGCAGGTGTAAGGTTGTTGTTTTTCAAAACCATACAGCAGGAAATCGATTGCACCCTTCATGCAAATCGATTGCACAGGGTTCTAGTAGCCAGATTTCCAAATATTTTGAGTGTGCAATCGATTGTACAACCATGTAAATCGATTGCACGGGGTTCCAGTAGCCAGATTTCCAAATATTTGAGTGTGCAATCGATTACACAACCATGCAAATCGATTGCACTGGAAGTCAGTAGCCATGTTTTGAAAAACTGAAGCATGCAATCGATTGCATTAACATGCAAATCGATTGCACTCAAATGAAAATTAAATTTTTGCTTTGAAGAAAACTTGAATAAAGAGTTGGAGAATATAAAATGTTTCTTTTTGACCATTGAGCATCTATATCTTAAGTTCAAGGTAAGTATTATTATTATACCTTGAAATTTGCTAAGGGCTTGAACCAAAGACTTCATCCAAAGAGGATTTTAGCTTGATCAATAATTTTTGCCTTCTTTACCAATCATTATTTGTCTTCATCAAAGCAAAAGTGCATTCGAGAAGCTTGATTTTATGGCATGTGTCGATACATAATGATCTAAAATGTTTTTTTTCTTTTCCTTTCATTTTTCTTTATTTTACATGCTTCATATATTTTCTTCATGGCTATTCAATATGGTTGTAATAGATAATTAGGACTTTAATTTCTTGCAATCCCCATTTATAAATTTGTACACCCCATCCCCAAATGATTGTAATAGCGTAGGACTTTACATTTCCGCAATTTATCACTTTCAAATATAAATGCTAGTAACCAGGGTTTGTATGGCAAGACATAAAATCAACAAGTAGATAACCCTAATCAAAGATTAAATGCATGCAAATAAAACACACTATTCACACATGCACCCTTAAGGTTAACTCCACTTGTTGCCTAAAAAATGGTCATGTTATGCATGTGGGATGACTTAGCAAAAACAATTGAAATACAAGATCATAGTCCCTCGATGACGCTATAAATGTTGCCTTTCAAAATAATCTTAGTCCCTTAAAAAATGCTAAGGTACCTCACAACATTGCTATCATGACTATACGATGACCCACGCCCGTCCCGCTTACATCCAAAGATAGGGTTGCTTACCAAATCAATGGTAAGACAATAATGTCAAAGGAAAATAAAATGAACAAGAAATACATTTGAGTAGGTATATTGCTCCTAATTACTTGCTCCGTTTCAAACAAATATCCTTGCTATTTTCAAAACAAACACACACATTTTAAAATATCTTCCAAACTTGAAAACATTTTCAAAAAGAAAAACATCCTTGTATACATTCTTACGAACGAGAATCATTACAAATATTGCCTAAACAATATCCTATTTTACAAAATACTTTCAAAAAACCACACCAAGCACAATTTAAAACAAAAGCAAGTGATCTAGCAAGTAACTAAGAGCCCATGGAAAACCATGGATGGAAAGGGTGCTAATACCTTCCCTTTTCATAATCTACCCCCCGAACTCAAGAAACAATATCAAAGGTCTTTCCTGTGCTTTTTCACCTTTCCTTTTGGATAAAAGAAAACTCGGTGGCGACTCTTACTAACCGTAACATTTGCGATAAAACGCAAAACAATCAAGTCAGTTCTCCCACCGTATCACAGAACTGGCGACTCTGC